AAATCGTCAGGCGCTCTGATAGAGATCGTCATTAAAACATCGCTTTTGTCACCACACTTGCTCCTTAATCTCCTCTTGTTCCTATGAATTGCATATGAGATTCCTGAAATTGAATGATAATTTTACCTATTAATCTCTGATATAGCCTTTTTTACCCCGCCGTTCCCCGCCAGTATCTCCCTGCCCACGCAAATGAATAGAGCTTCATTACCGCCACCCACATTTAATAACCGTTATCCATTATCTGGTAATTAAGACTCCGTATAACGAATCTCAAGGATTACGCCAGTTTGAGAAAGAGGGGAGAGAAACTGAAAAAATACATATAACATGTCTTTAATGAACTGTAAAATTTCCATCTTGTTCTGCTCGGTAATGAACAGTCATTATAACTCAGGGAGGCAGGAGGGCGGCGTCTCTTTTTTCTGGCCCTGCAGTTTGTGGGTAATCTGTTAAACTGCGTCATTTCATCTTCTATTTTTATCAGTCGAGCTGATAAAATATAATTGGCTGTGAAGGAAGGCGAGGAAAGAAATAATGATTTTTATTGATGAGCATTAAGCTGTCGTTTGTTGCAGCAGCGCACGCTGTTCTCCGGCCGCGCTGTCGGTGCAGTCGACCTGCACGGGAACGCCGGCCTCGAGCTGTTTGTCGTCCCGTCGGACAAACCCGACGGCTGAGCGATGCGACGTAACCTCAGTACCTGCTTTTGTTGAAGACCTCTCATCTGTTCCAACACGGCAGGTTCAGACTTCATCAAGACGTCTACAGGGAAGGAGGCTGTCAATGCTACTTACCCTGTTGCCATAGTGATGGTGAGAGCCATCCGTGACTACTTCATGAGTACGGGCCACAAGGTGGGCGTGAACACTCACCGACTGTAGAACAGTTACTACATTTATTATGTTCTTGAAACCAGCATCATGTTCACTGACTGATGGACTAAAAGTACTCGTATGAATGTGGAGCGAGTCACGTGTATGAAGCAGCTCGAGTACTCGAGTAGATAAGAAGCATTTCATCAAACAGCAGCAACTTAATTCTGCTCAGTTTCATTAAGATGCAGCAAAAATCTGAATGTAAACGTTTACATGGCAGCGCTGCAACACAGGGTGAGTCACCATGACGTGCGTCTAAAAACGGCAGTCCGTGTTCAAAAAATATGATCAGCTGAAGCTTGAAGAAAAGGAAGTGCACTTCAAGAATAGCTGAGACAACCTAGAATGGGAAATGCCCCTAATGTGTGGAGCAAAGCAGGAACCAGTCTATCGCTCCTACAAAATAAGAGATTTGGAGGCGCTGGTTAAACAGCTCCCACCCATAACAGAGGGAGGAGCAGCTTGGTTAAGGAAGTTAAGGACCTTAACAATCAATAACCAATCGTAGGCCAGTCGAGCCTCGCCACAGCGTGCTCTCTGTGTTTAGTGTCAAAACGGATGGTTTTGATTTTATTGCTGTGGAATCAGGTTCAAGCAAAGTTTCTCAGATTAAAACATTTTATTAGTTACACCGTGTTAGTTCTGACCTGCTTTTGCCTTCAGAACTTTGTCAGTGTTGAAACAAACAACTGAAAAAGTACCAGGTACTGTGAGCTAATGGGAAACCCTACGGGCTCAAAATGTGGTCATAAATATTTTGTACTTGTAAATCAGGATTTGTGGATCAAATAAAAATTTGTGTGTGTGTGTGTGTGTAAAAATAAATAAATAAATAAAATAAAATAATAAATAAATAAATAAAAAATAAAAATAAAAAAAAAAAAAAAAAAAAAAAAAAAAAAAAAATTGTGTGTGGACTTAGCCAAAAAAACCGCTGCAAGTTACAAGTACAAATTTTGACCCTATTTTTCTGCCTTTCATCTGATTGGTCAATGTCATGTCAATCACAAATGTAACAATCCAATCAGAGAACAGATGGGTTTGGCTGT